TGCATGCCAAGGTGTGTTTGACAGCGGTGTATTTCGTTCCCGATTAACAACTAGGCTCAGGTGGTCGGAGGTGACTTGGTTAGACGACGTTGATACTCCTCGCGAGTTTCTCCGTATCGCAACTTGCTTGTTGCGGGTGAGTGCAGTCTCGTATCTCTCAGTTACATATCTCATGACAGACTAGGGGCTTGAATTCCTCCACCCCCGACGAATAGCTCATCGAGTAAACCGCTCCGTTGTTCTAGAGATTTGCAACGTTGACAATGTGGAACAGGACATCGGCGAATGCAACATGCTTGCCAATTACTATAGGCCGGACAACGACCCCGTCGCGTTGAGGGCCGATTTACGAGAACGTAGGGGTCTAGGCGATGCCGAAAACACACTCGCTTTCATGGACTTCGACAAGTCAATCCTCCTTCCTCCCGACACGCCGTTGACGACTTGTCGTCGGCCGTCGCCGGAAGCCACAGGGGCCAATTATTTTACCCCCGATGATACCGACTATGGAGCACCGTTCTACAACCCGTTCGCGTACGACGTTGCGACACTGGGAAATCTCTTCAGAAACTACTTTTCGGTGTGCAGCCTGAACCACTTCTGGGCTCGTCTTGTCGCTCACCTCCCCACAGGCTATGGTGTCTGCTGTTCCATCACTCGCCCCGCTTTTCGACAGGATGACGACGCACGTAGTGCGGGAGAGGTTCACTGCGGAAGAATCGCTGCACTTCTTGCAGGATACCACCGCAAAACTCTCAGAGGCGGCTCTGGACACAAAATTCGTGTTGGTTCCTGACAGGATATGGTCTGGGGAGTCGTACTGGTCAAAGCTTTCGGCCCGAGAAGTGGAAGCGATACCGGACGCCTTCGGCGCCTTGGTGGGTGCCAATATTGCGCTGGACTTTACGGTACGAGAGAATTTGGGAAGTTATAACCTCTGTGCGCTGTCGGCTCGGGATGTAACGATCCGTGTCTCTGTCTGTAGTCGTGATGTCGAATGTTACCAGACGGTCTTCAACATCCATCACTGCGGGCAGACCTTCGCAAACATTCGAGGGCTATACTTACCAGTTGCTTATCAGGGCAGGAAAGAGCTCTGCGCAGTCCCTCGAGGCCTCATCGGCACCACTGGCCCTTGCTGATGCTAGCGACGATAGACCTCGAGATGTCGCCGAATCCGCACAGAACGTTTGTGACTCATTTTTAGTTCCAAGTTCACGCGTCAGGGTCTGACACAGAATGACTACGTCGGAATCGGGGGCACAGGGAACGCAAGAGATAACACGTGAAACCTGATTAATCGATTTTCAATCATGTACTATATGAACTCGAAACCTCGGGTCTTGAAGGTCAACAGTCATATCTTCAACCACCAGCGTATGGAGAAGAATAGGGTCCCAGGCCAGTGGAACTGTAGAAGCCACCGCACGAGCGGAATCCACCAAGCCTCCGGTGGGGTGCGGTATCTCTTCCAAAACTCCTGGTCTTGAGGAGAAAGTCTCGACCAATACACGTCTCCTGTCGAGAGTCGTCGCGCCTCCGTCTCCGGAGTCAGGAACTTGGTATTCAGTGCTTCATCTGAGACCTGTGTAGTGGTATCCTTGAAGAACCGCAGAGCTTCCTCTGCGGTGAACCTTTCATGGATCACATATGTAGTCATTCTGTCGAAGAGCGGGGCCAGAGATGGAACGGCAGGTGCCATGTGCTACCGGTATGTGCGATATCAGCTGAAGCACGGAGGACAGACCTGCAAAAGGCGGTCCACGCACCCAAAAATGATACCGCAGGATATTACCAAGCATCCCCACGTCGTACGAGAAGGGATTATGGTATGGAGCCCCTCGCTCAAGATCGTCAGGAGCAAACATCCTGTTGCCTATGGCCTCTGATGACAGCAGGATACATTCCGCCAAAGGTTTGCCCCGAGGAAACACGAAGGCGGCGCCCAAGTCCATTAGGGCGGTGATGTTGTCAATGTCACCTTGACTTCGACGTTCCTGTATGTTAGCAACAACGAGCTGCTTGTCGCTATCGAGCGTATAGGAGTCGGAGAGCATATTCTGGGGGATGATGTCCTGCCCCGAGCTGTCAGCATTGGCAGGGGCTTCATTCAAGTTATGACGTACTCGGTGGGCTATGCGACGAGAGTGGAGGAACTCCAATGCCTGAGGAGCGTGTGAGCGCGTGGGTACGCAACAGCGGGCGTTGCACTTACTCGCAGCAGGCAGCCAGCAAACCGGAGGAATTCGCGAGGAGTGTCAATATCGTAAAACCAGTTCACAGTTCCCCATCTGTAAGGAGGATGTGTTAACGCGTGGGACATTGCGGTTGCATATGCGACAACCGAACTTACCTCGGCATGCACAGGAACGAGTAATCGTACGGAGTATCGAGCACTGCCAGGGGAGGGACGATACACGGAAAGGTGGATGGATCTGTGTAATCGACAGCATCCAGGAGGGCTTTGGACACGGTGTTTTCCACGCCATGGTGATCAATCACCTTGAGGATCACGTCTCTACCAGAGGAATCCCTCGCAGGGGCGATATATTTCTGCAGTGGCGGGAAAGTACACCTCTGCAACGCCGAGTGAAGAAAGAAAACGCACCGACGGTAACCAAAAAGCCTCTCGTCGGGGTCCTTCCGCGCACCTTGCCCACGGGAGCGATTCACCTTCGAGTTGAGGCGCACCGGCCGGTGTGCAAGATCTCACTGGGGTGCACCAATGCGTGAACAATTCCTTCCCTTCATGGGACTGGTCTCTCTGAGCCAAAGAGTAGAGGTTGATACCTCTACGAAGCAACCAAGCACGATTCCCCTCCCAGAACTTGGTTGGTCCATCGTCTGAGAAATTCCACTCAGGATCAAGCATGGGCTGTATCGCACGCGTCATTTGGCGTTGGGACCAAGAAAATGATGGTTCACATACACAGTACGATTCGCAGACATCGTCTGGAGTGGGGAGGTCGAGCATCACGGTGTTGCTGGTGGCGCACATGGGTAGTGGAACGAGGCTGCAGATTCTTGGCGTCCTGCTTGCATCCCAGCAAGCCGTGGCACGTGACCGTGGTGGTAGAGTCCCACAGGCGGATGCAATTCGGACATCACCGAAACATCGATCCTGGCAAAGACCCTCCAAAGCCAGCGAGTGAGTCATGATACATACTCAAGTACTCACTGGGCAGGGGCACTACTGCACAAGGGCCATATATGTGCTTCTGCGGAGTTCTGCGGCTGCCCAGTGGACATTCCTCCCTTCGGTGAAATTTACCGGCAGAATCTGATACGATGAGCACCTAGAAGCGGATCTGTGGGTCCCGGCGAAGACCACCGCGAATGAGAGTGCGGAGATATCGTGCCCTCGTGGTGATGGCGGAGACCACATCCTGTCGTGGCTGCGAACACAGTCTTCTCTCTTGTGATCCACACCCTGCAGCAAACTACGGTTGTCTAGATGAGTCCTGATGCAGCTGTAGACCGCACCGGCGTGTATTCCGATTCTCCGAAGCTACGGTCTTTCCGCAATCAGGACCAGGACGGAGTACTGTACCATTCCGTTCTATCGGATATCTGAACCCTCGACAACCCAAGTACCCAAGTACAATGTTCCCTCAGCAGCCTCGGGGTCATACACCCGGCTGTCAGGGTCGACAAGGATTGCGGCGGACGCAGAGACCGGGACCGTTGATGTCTTGGAGGGGCCAGAGGGACCGACGTGCCACGAGAGCTGGACGGTACCCGGGACAGTGGCGATCTGGGAGCCCTTCGCGAACCCTTGCTCGGCGGCGGCCCGCGTGCGGGACGAGACGAGGACATCACTCACCTCGGGCATAGGCAGGAATAATGGCGCGGGAAATGCACGGGATATTGTTGAATATTGTGTCAATCCCCCACAATGCCGGGTGGCGGGATATTCGTGGGAAATGTATACTATCGCGGGCATGCCGCACGCATTTCCCACATCGGCACGGGCAAACTTTCCCCTCTGTTGCCCCTGCGGGGGACATTCCAGGGAAATGTTTCCTTTCAGAAAGGCAGACAAACATTTCAACAACTGGCGCATGAGCTAAAAAGGCATGCTTTTTACCGCACTCATGTGGTAACAAAGGGGTGAAATGTCACCCAAGGAGAAATGCCATTGAAATGCTAGTGAAAGGAAACATTTCCCTGGCATGTCCCCCGCAGGGGCAACAGAGGGGAAAGTTTGCCCGTGCCGATGTGGGAAATGCGTGCGGCATGCCCGCGATAGTATACATTTCCCACGAATATCCCGCCACCCGGCATTGTGGGGGATTGACACAATATTCAACAATATCCCGTCTACGGCGTCCGGCTCTGGACGCTCTATGGTGGACGCGCCAGCTAGTGCGCGGGCGAAATGTATTTCGTGGTAGTAGTACAGTGGGAAGGACACCAAATGGGACAAGAGCGGATCGCGTGCTCTGCGGCAGCGCGCACGCGGCGCGTGTTAGCGCGCGTGGCTGAGATCCCTGCGCGCGGCGTGCGCGGGCTCCGCTGAGCTCGCGGTGCTCTGAGGCACAACCTGAGCTTGGCTCTGTGAGAGAGGAGGGTGAGCTACGAGTCCCGAACACAGGGCAAAGCAAAGGCCTGCCAAACAAAAAGGGCAGAGACAAAACAAAGAGAAGGCAGAGGGTGGGAGGGTCGAAAGAACTTGCCGAGCTGACGGAGGAAAGGCGATGGAGGAGAGAGGGAGGAAGGAGGCGGACGATGCGGCGGGAGGAGCGTCGTGGTTGGAGGCAAGCCGTGGGCGTCTGCTCTCCGCCGCTCCTCCCGCCGTAGACTAGCACCTGTCTCAGTCGCTCGTTCCTCGCTTCCGCGCCAGGGCAGTCATCTACGGCGTCCGGCTCTGGACGCTCTATGGTGGACGCGCCAGCTAGTGCGCGGGCGAAATGTATTTCGTGGTAGTAGTACAGTGGGAAGGACACCAAATGGGACAAGAGCGGATCGCGTGCTCTGCGGCAGCGCGCACGCGGCGCGTGTTAGCGCGCGTGGCTGAGATCCCTGCGCGCGGCGTGCGCGGGCTCCGCTGAGCTCGCGGTGCTCTGAGGCACAACCTGAGCTTGGCTCTGTGAGAGAGGAGGGTGAGCTACGAGTCCCATTACGGGGCAGGAGCGGCGCGACGCGTCGGGCGAGGCTGACGACTCCCAAAGAAGACAGGAGCAGAGGGACAACGGACCTGCATCATCGCGCGCTGGATGTCGTCCCACACGTGTGGCAGCACAACAAGGTGGGGCTGGAGGACGTCTGCGTGCTTGCGCAGGTAGAGCTGGAAAGAGGATTGAGAGTGCCAGCGCCCCTTGACCATGCAATCGGCGAGAGAGAAACCGTTGAGGGCGTAGCAGAGGAGGGAGCCAATGCGCAGGCTGTGGCCGGAAGGGGTGCCGAAGTTGAACTCCGCGGCGAGAGCACGGATTCGCACCGTGAAGGCCCGGAGCGTGAGCGGGCGACGGGAGCTGCGGATGGTGTGTGAGAAGAGTGCTTCACCCTTTCCGGGCTTGTTGAAGGCGATGTGTTCACGGAGGGCGCGGACCGGATCGTGCATGGGTTGGGAGGCAAAATAAACATCCTCACCGTCGAAACGATGGGTCTTTGTGTGTGGGAGGTGTATGGTGCATACGATAACGCCACCATCTCGCGTGTTGAAAGAGACGTTAGAGAGCTGCACGTGGTTTTTCGGGTGGAAAGATTTCTGGCTTTGTAGTAGGAACTCCATCAGGAAAACCCCAAAATGCGAATTAGCACTAACAGCGTGAAATTAGTCCTAATGGCTTGTCTAATCGGGCTAACAGAACCGGGGGATCTAGTCACAACTAATGTGTGATAGTTGGGTACTAGCAGTACCGTTTATCACCTATTCTCGATAATTCTAGCGGCTCTCTCACTAATTGGCGTAATTCACTGGTATCTGATCCTCCACGTCACTAATTTGAACGGCACACAGATATATTGCGACTAATTAGAGTAACATTGAAAGGACGACATAGGGGGCCGTATGCCGTAGGCACAACACAGTTGAGGTGGGCAACAGTTTGGGGGCGACGGGAGCGGGGGCGGATGGGATGGGTGACACGCACACGGGTGACACGGGCCGGGCAAGGGCAAAGTGGGCGATGCACGGGCGACGTTGATGAGGGCGCGATGTGGGTGAGACGTGGACGACGCGCGAGCGAGGCGACAAGACGTAGGTGAACGTGAGCGTGGTGAGTGACACGCCGGCAGACAAGGGCGAGGTGGTGACACGAGGGCGAGACGGACGACGCAGGGCGAGATGTTGACGATGCGGGGGCGACACAGACGTTGATGCACTGGGGGCGGCGCGGGAGATACGGTCGACGAGACATGGGCAACGCGGGCATGGTGGGTGAAGGGGCGACATGGAGGTGAATGCGGACAACGCGGGGGCGACATGGGGGCGACGAGAGCGCGGTGGGTGATAGGCGAGGCAGATGAGGAGGAGGCGGGTGAAGTTGGTGATGCAGGCGACGCGAGGGCAAGACAAGAGCGACATGGGCTACGGCGAGGCCGGCAAAAGGAGGTGAGTGGCTCCTGTGGCGGACGAGACAGAGACAGAATGAATACTTGCCGAGAAAGACGGGCTGAACGTCAAGCTGGACGTCGGCGTCGCAGGCGGGAGTGTGCTTCCCGCTCACGCCGGCGCGACAGCATTTGAGCACGTGCAGCCCATGAGTCCTGAGTCCTGACTTGTAATCGACGGGATGGAGAGTGATGGGGGAGCGCTGTGCGTTGTGCCGTCGGTGACGCAGGTGCGCAGGTGACGCGGGCGAGGAGGGCGAGGTGGAAACGCGGGCGAGGAGGGCGAGGTGGAAACGCGGGTGAGAGGGCGAGGCGGACAAGGTGGGTGACGTGGGCGACACGGGAGATGCGGGCGCCGTGGGCAAGGTCGAGACGGGCAAGGTGAGTGATGCGGGCAAGGGCGAGACGGGCGAGACGAGCAAGAGCGAGACGGGCAAAACGAGCAGCTGGTGGGAGCTCAAGGTAAGGACGATGAGGGCGACGTGCCAGGCGCCAAGCGCTGGAGTCCACGCGACGCGCGTCGATTCCCACGCGTCTGGAGCTGCCAGCACGTCCTTCCCTCCGTCCTCTCCACTGGAACCTCGACCTCCCCGTCCTCCACATCCTGGCCCCCTTTGTCCCCAGCCCGTATTCTGCGCCCTTCGCCTCAACCTCCTGACCTCACAGTGCGCGAGGACGTCTGTGGCCAGGCCCTGTGTCGGTGAGTCCCCCGCTCCATCTGCCTGCGCTTCCTGCCTTGCCCACCACCTCCCCAGGCCCCGCCCGAACCATCAACCCCGTCCCCACAACGAGCACGTCCCAATAGACATGCTCGGGATGCTCTTCCACCAATGTGGCCGCGGTGCGCCGTCATTGCCACCCGCCCGCCGCAACGCCGTTCGCCCACGCTTTCTCCGTGTGCAACCCTCGTGCACGGTCTCCTCATCTCGAGTAGGCCGCAAAGGAGACGGAGGCCTGTGCCACGGCGGTCACGCGTGTGAACGCTCGCATCCTCGGACGACAGGGTGTATGTGGAGCAGGGCATGACCTCAGCGCTCGGAGGTAAGCATTTCGTGTCGCCTGCCTTGAGCTCGCTGGCTCACGCGCACTCTCGCCCATGTCGCCTGCCTCGTCCCCGTCACCCACTTTGCCCGCGTTGCGCATGTCTCTCCCACGCCGGCCACATCTCCCACGTCGCGCACGTTGCGCGTCTCATCCACCACGCCCACCTTGCCTGCTTCACCCGCGTCTTTCCCGTTTCGCCCTCATGCACCTCACCATCTCGCCTGCTTCCCTCGCGTCACCCATCTTCCCCTTCTCAAGCCCACATCACCTACCTTGCCAGCCTCGCACCGCGTCACCCGTTCCATACGCGTCTCGCGCCCGCGTTGCCACGTCGCCTGGGTTTACTGTAGGTCGCCTACGTCTCGCCCCTGCGTCAACGTCTGCGTCAACCACCCCGCCCGCCCTGCGTTGACCCCTGCCTGCGTCAATGTCTGCGTCTCTCACGTCTCGCCCCACATTGCCCAACGCCCCGCCCGTCTCGACCGTATCGCTGTGGCATAGCATGTGTACTTCTATGTTCAAATAAATTTGATTGAACTCTCCAACTGTGTGACTACCCGTGTGCTTATTGTCTCTAAAGTCCGTCTAATTGCGTGTCTAAGGGTGATAATCACCCCTAACGTCTGCCCAATGTGTGTCTAATTCCCCACTACATGCCCAAATACCCGGAGTAACGCATGGCTAATTGTTGAGCTATTCCGTCTAAAGGTTCGAATTCGCAGGGGACCGATCTAATTAGACACTAATCGATAATCCGCACTAATGGCTGATAATCAACTAAATTAGTGCCATTAGTGCGAATTCGCACTTTGGGGTTTTCCTGATGTCGCCGTTACGAGCGGTTGCCCAGAAGATTGTTGAAAGTGCAGCGCGGCAGGCAAGGTCGAGGGACGAGCTGGTGTCGAACAGAGGGAACAAGCGGGCGAGGTGTTCAAGTAAGAAAGGATCACGGCGGGACTTAGACGAGGTGCTTGGGGCAGAGTCTTCTGCGGAGCGGAGGAGCAGCGAGCGGGTCTGAGAGTCAAACGAGAATGGGAGTTGCCAGATCTTGTGCCAAGCTTCGATGCCATGGAACGTGTTGCGGACAGCGGACTTGGAGTACGAGCCAATGAGTGATTGGAGGAAATCGAGGAGGACTGGCTCAGGTATGGGACCGCGCAAATGCTCAGGTACGTCGTGGGTGTCAGCCCAGATGTGGAACAGTAGAAGACCGGAGCCGTAGGTAGTCGCCGTAGAGGTGTCGAATGCGCGCGAAAGCACGTCAACCGCACGAGGTGGGCTTATCACGGGCCCGTCGGTGACCACCAGAGATGACGTGGATGGGGACCAGGCGAGCACAGGTGATTTCCCTGGTGCATCCGTTGCGATAGCCTATCGGCAGCCCCGGATGCATCTGGACGGATCTGGCGATCCGTGATGCGCGCCCATGGAGACGCGCCTCGGTGGGCGGCAAGGACGCGTGGCTGTGATGCACGCCACGCGTCCCTCCCGCCGTCCTTGCTCTCCTCCCCGCCTCCTCTTCCTCCTCCTGCTCCGCCTCCACCGTCCAGGCAGACGATAGCGACTATACAGTCGTCCTTCGTCTGCTATTGGACTCCGGTGTCACCTGGTGACACCATTCAACTCCCCTCATCCTCCTCCCTCGACCTCAACCTCAACCTCCATGCCGTCCTTCGCCCACTTTGCCGGCCGCGTCCACACAGGTCCACACCGCACGAGGACGTCCATCCGGACGTTCTCAGCATGGAGATTAGAATTAGGGGGCCGCGGCGATGTACCGCGGCCCTTGTTTTGGTGAGTCCCCCGCTCCACCCTCCTGCATTCCCAACGCCCACCTCTCCTCTCCGGCTTCGTACATCCGGCCTGCCGCCGGCCTTGACCTCGATCTCCGCATCCGCCTGGCCCACCTCACCGCTGCCCTCCTCCCCGTTGCCCACCTCCGCGCTGTTCTCTGCCCGCCTTCGCGCCGCCCGTCTGCACACCTCAGGTGCCCGCGCCCGCACACCCTCCTCCGCCTCCCTCACCCGCGGCCTCACCCGCGGCCCCCCTCCTCCACGCGCGTCGGCCACCTCCGCGTCATCACCCACCTCCATGTCGCCCGCGTCCGCGTACCTGCCGCCCGCATCCGCGCGCGTCGCTAGGCTCCCCCCCGCCTCTGCGTCCGCCCTCCTCCGTGTCCTCCTCCTCCGCGTTGCCCACCTCCTCCGGCCCGTCCGCCCCCGCGTCGTCCACCCCGGCGCGCGCTGCCCACCTCATCGCCCGCCTCTGCCCGCCTCACTCGCCTCCTCGCACTCTTCCGCCCACTCTGACCTCCTCTGCCTCCGCCTCCTCCCGCGAGCCCTCCGCGTCACCCTCCTCCGCCCACCTCCTCCGCCCACGCGGCCCTCCTCAGTGTCGTCCCAGCCCACGTCATGTCCTCCACTGACGTCACCTCCCCCGCCCACGTCGTCCTTCCGCTCGCATCGCCCGCCCTCGCTGCTCTGCGCTTCCTCCCCCTTCGCATTGCCCGCGTTGCCCACCACCTGCTCCGCCTCGTCTTGGCCCTTCACCTCCCCCCGCGAGCCCTCCGCGTCGCCCTCCTCCGCCTCGCTTGCCTTTGCGTCGCCCGCCTCCGCGTCTCCCGCGTTCACGTCGCCCATGTCGCCCTCCTCCTCCTCTGCGTTGTCCCCGCCTCTACGTCTGCCTCCGCGTTGTCGCGGGGCGTGGTATTACTTACTAGTGCACCTATGTAGTAGTTTACTAATAAATATATTTTTATCACTAATCATATAAAAGATGTGGTGTGAAACAAATAGGGAGGCGAGCTCACTGTCGGAGACAGCGAGCTCAGGTGGCAGCGCCTGAGGCGCCGGTGTCCGGACATCTCGGGACAGTGTCGCACCCAGGGGTGCGCGAGCGCGCTTGGGGAAGGCGGTGTCGAGCGCGACCGGGCCGGCCGGCACCAGATGCATCCGCACCTGCTGATAGGCTGTCACAACAGATGCACCTGGCGAATCATCACTGTAGACCAGGCGGTCAGTCGCGAACTGGCAGCGACATGTGGACGGCATGGATGAGGGCGAGGAGACAGGTCGGGGGCGTAGGGCCGAGGGAACACGTGAGGGCGAGGTGGAAGGACACGATTAAAACGCGTTGAGTTCGTCCCAGTAGAAGGCAGGGCTGTTGACGAGGATGTGGGCAGTGCGCTCGGAGCTTGCACGGTCAGCGTCGAGCGCGCGGGCGGGGTCCCGTGGAGGTTTGGGGAGTGCGTGCGCTGGTGCGGCGAGCTCTGAGGGTTGCGGCGGGGCGTTCCAGTCGGCGAAGAAGCTAGAGACCGCGTCGGGGAGTCGGATGGGTGGCAGGAGGAGGCTAGTTGGGCCGTAGATTCCACGAGACGGGTCGTCGGCAGGGTTCGCAGCGCTGGCAACGTAGCGCGCATGGATCGCGACACGTGCGGCTGCAAGGACAACATTGAGTCGGCGGAAACATGCATTGACCCAGCGGTTCGCTTGGCGTCCTTTGCGCCATCCGCCGATGACGGCTGTGTTGTCACCATGGGCGGCCACGTTGGGTGGGAGGTCGGGGAGCTGTAGAAGTCCAAGAACGAGTAGTTCGAACCCGACGGCTTCGAGCCATTGGATGTCACGGCCGTCTTGCTTCCAGTCGGGAAGGACTCTCCATGCACGCCAACGGCCTTGGATGACGATCCCGATTCCGACACCGGAGGATGCATCGGAGTATGCGAGGAGGTCAAAGACCTCGACCGGGACAGGGATTGGACGCTCGATGTTGCCGTATAGAAGTCGAGCATGCCACCATCGGAGGTCGTCGAGCGCGAATCTGGGGAGGTGCCGTGCGACGTGAGGACGGTCAGATCCGTTGGAAATTGCGACCTCCAGTCCCGTAAGGTAAGCGCGTCCATCAGGAATTGTGGAGCATGCAAAATTGAGCTTGCCATAGAGGCTCTGGATGGCGTCGAGGTTGTGAGCCGGCGCAGGGGAGGCCAGGAAAAGGTCCAGCACGGTGAGATATTTGTCCCGCTTTGAAGGCTGGAGAGCGACAGTGCCACGAGCGAAATCGTAGGACAGGCCGGTATAGTCCGGTGTGGACGACCAAAGCTGGTCTTTCTCCGGCGCCCAGACATAACCGAGTGGAAGCGACACGCGATCAATGTCTGCGAAGGAGTAGGCATAGGACGCATCAGCGTCAGGGCGAAGGGAAGATGTGGAATGATCCCGGAGTGGGCAGCAGAAGTCCTCGATGAATTCCTCGATGCGACCATCAGGGAGCGCATCCCCTGACCACCAGAGACGTCCCCCTCGCGTCCGACGGGCGCCTCGACTCCGGATGCGGTCACGCGCAGCGGCGCGGCGCATGTTTGCTTCAGCCAGCCAGGACACAAGAACTCGTGCCCAGAAGTGGTCATCGACCCAATGAAGGACAGGGCCAAGGCCGTGGGCGCGAAAAATCTCGCAGGCAATGTCGGCAACAAAACCATAAACCCCCCCGGAAGAGCATAACCCGAACGCTGCGCAGGTGTCCACCTCAAAGGAGTTGTCACCTGTGCGGACAACAGTGCCTGCGAGCTGCGAGTGGTGTAAAGGGATAGTTCGATACGCATCGCGGACGTCACGGACAGCGGCTTGTGACCCCGGGGGAAGCATGGCATACATGAGCGCGACAGCGAAGAACGTACCCCAGGTGCAAGGATATGAGCTGGCGTCCATGGCCGAGTTGATCGAGGAGACACCGTTGCGGGGCTCGTGTGGGAAGGAGAAATTCTGGATGAGGCGGAACGAGTTTGGCTTGTGCGGTTTAGGGATGATGGACAGAGGGGACGTTTGAAAGGGGCCGAGAACGGATTGGATTTCGTCAGAGGTGTATGGTCCAAGGTAACGGCCGAGCCTGCGCTCTTTGCACACGATTTCCTCCAGGTGGTTGGCGTGGTCGATGACCGAGGGGCGATTAGGTGGTGTGAACTGCATGGAGATTGTTGGAATGCCGACGATAAACCCCTGCCGAATTGAGAGAGGCAGCGTGGGGTAGCGGTCGAGGAGTCCGAAGGTACGGAGTTCCCGCTCCCACTCGTCTGCATTGAGTGGGCTACTGTTGTGTTGGCGCACGTGACAGATGGCAAGACTGAGCGGAGTGAGCGGTTGACCCGCAACCACTGCAGACGTGGGGTCGGCACTTGGAAGGGTCCTTGTTCGGGCATCCTTTCGGCAGGTTGTAGCGGAGGCAGATCTGACCACCGCTGGAGGTGGAGAAACCGCGGCCATCCGCCCCACGCTTGACGAACGTGGGTGTGCCGGGGGCGTGGTGCAGCTCGGTTGCGGCGCAGGTAGAAGCGTTGTGGTGGTGTCGACCGAGACACACGGCGCACGCGCTGGTCGAGGACGCGTGGCCGGGGACAAAAACCGAGGTGCCGGCGGAAGAGGATGCCTCGGCCCCTCGTGTGGAGCGAGTTTTGGGACCGTGTGACTGCCCTGGGGTGGGGGAGCTGTAGCGCGAGCGCGACTGCAGCACATGAAGGGCGTTGGGCACGCGGAGGCGGCGAGTGAAGTACGCGCGGAGGCCAAAGGCATAGGCATGTGTTTGGGTGACACGAAGGGCGTTGGGGTGACGCGGAGGAAAAAACGCGCGCGCCGATGGGCAGGCCATTTGAGAGCGCGCGCGGGAGAGAGGGCACCATAGGTTGGACAAAACAGCGACGTGGTGCATGTTTTTTAAAAGGAAGACAGAGAGTGAGCGAAAGCACAGGCAAACTGAGAAAACAAAGACACGCACAGTAGAAGAGCTTCGCACGGACTCTAGCTCTTGGAGATGTGCGGCCCGCATGGATGCCATCTGCTGGATGGACAGCTCGCGGTGAATGGTCTCGATGCGGCGATCGTCGAGGACACCGAAGTCTGGGAGTGGCTCCTTCCGGACCAGCCGTTGATGGATATTGATGCGAACCCGTTCGACGTACGACGCCAAGGCTTTCCAGCCCAAAGCAGGGTCGTGCTTGCGCAGGCTGTGCTGCTCGACGAACCCAAAAAGCTTCCGGCACATGCGTACGAACTGATCAGAGTAGACGCGCTTGCCATCGGCGACTGCAGCCTCATACTGTGCGCAGAGGGTGTGCTTGGCCTCGACGAACTGTTCAAAGGTGATGTCGGCGTCGCGAACTTCGTTGGTGCTGCGCTTCGCCCCAGTCGGGGCTCGGGACCAGTTGACGGTGTTGGTTGTGGTGTCGAGGGTTCCTTCGAGGCTGAACGTTGACTGGCCGATCGCTTGAGCGAAGCGTTGGCCTCCCTGGTCCCTCATCCCATCTGCCGAGAAATACCACATGAAGACGTAGTCGCCTTTCGCGAGTTGCGCAATGGCGAACGAGGAAGGGTTGTCGAGGGTGTCGATCACGGGCAACGTGCTGTCGAACGTCGAGCCCATGGCATTGGTCGTCGGCCCTGTGCGTGTCCGGGTACGCCCGCGGGATCGGGAGCGAGCGGGAGGGCCTTCAGGGGGTGGGGAGGGTCCACGGGAGGGGGGCTGCAAGGTGTCGAGATCCTCGAGGAGAGCGAGACGTGCCTGATAGTCGTCCCACGCAGCCTGGCGTGCCGGCTTGCCCAAAGTCCAAACGGTGCGGAGCATGGCCGCAGCGCCAGCATGGTCCGCGCAGGTCCTGTGGTCGATGAGATCTTGGCGTTCAACTTGATGTTGGTCCGCGGCGTAGTCAGGGGCAACCTCGTTGCCTGGATCAGGGGGAGGCGGACCCAAGATCCCGAGGATCGCATTCTGCTGATCGTCCGAGAGGGGCATGATCAAAGGGTCGAAAGAACTTGCCGAGCTGACGGAGGAAAGGCGATGGAGGAGAGAGGGAGGAAGGAGGCGGACGATGCGGCGGGAGGAGCGTCGTGGTTGGAGGCAAGCCGTGGGCGTCTGCTCTCCGCCGCTCCTCCCGCCGTAGACTAGCACCTGTCTCAGTCGCTCGTTCCTCGCTTCCGCGCCAGGGCAGTCATGCATTTCCCGCGCCATTATTCCTGCCTATGCCCGAGGTGACTGCCGTCGGGGGTGCCCGCAGCGTCAATTTAACCGGTCATCTAAGCAGAAAAGCACCGTCGGAAAACGGCCCGCTCGACCCAGCTATACTGGTGAGCATTCTGCCCTCTATCCGTTCCTTCTGGGCCTTTTGTTGTCCTGCCTCCCTCCCGTAATCCATGACGTCTGTAACTGACATTTCGTGTTCACCCCCTTCAACCTTTGTCCCTCATTCAGTGGCGCCGCGGCCTCCGACGTCCTCGGCCCGGACTCGCAGCCAACTGTCAAGAGTGTCCTCACATCCCTCCGTGCAAGAAACCGAGGTGGCCGTGGCTCACCGCCGCACGGCTTCCCGACCTCCCAGCCAGATCCTCGGCTCGCAGCCATCCGCCTCTCCCGCCTCCCACTCGCGTGCGCCCTCGCTCGGTCGTCCAGGATACACGGCACAACCGGCGCCCTCTGCGCGCTCGCGATCACCCTCACCCGCTCCGCGATCACGCCGTCACTCTCGCTCACCCTCACGAGAGCTTACCGCGGGCGGGCCGCGCGAGTCGCAGAAAGAGCCGAGGTTGCACGCGGCGCACCATTTTCCAGGAACTCCTCCAGCTGTGTCTCAAGCTCCTTCCTGAGCTCCGGCTCC